ATCTTCCTGTAAGGGGCACTCAAACTCCCCTCATCAAAACTTTCTGCTTCCTAATAGAGAAATAATGGGGTTCTTAATCTTTGAAAGATGGTGTCTCAATAAAGATGTTGATGAGAGAGTGAAAAATTTTCCAAGTCCAGCTCTTTCTTCATTTCATAATCCATGCTCTTATTTTTATTATATTCCCCTTTCCCTTGGTTTTTCTAAATTAACAAAATATAGGCTTAGGTTAATATATTTATATAGATAGCTATCTATATTATGAATATATAATCTTTTTTTGCTGTATCTTTTTTTTATTGTGAAAATACCGTACAGAGGGGTTACAGTTACATGGGCAAGGTAATGAGTACATTTCCTATCAAGCATTGTTGCCTCCTCCTTTGTTTCCCCTTCCCATCCCTTCCCATCCCTCCCTCCCTCTCCCCCCCACCATCCCCCCTGTGCCAAAGTTGTAAAGTTCATTTTCAACATAACATCTTGTGCATCTCATTGTTGCAATGGGTCCACCTGTATCCCTATTTAAACAATTTGTTTTTTCCCTTCCCCTCCACAAATTATACCAACATCAAATACAGTGAAACTGGGGTTATACCGTGAGGGAGAGATATAGAAAGCAACAAAGAAATATCTTATAAATATTTTAGAAACAATAGCAAGAAAGAAAAAACATCTGAATCCTTATCTTGGGGTTCATTTCACTTAACATCAACTTATCTGACCATTTCTGCTTGACTCATAGATATACTAGATATTGCAAATAAGGGAAACCATGGGACCTATGTTTCTTTGGGCCAGGCTTACTTCACTTAATATAATTTTTCCGAAGTCTTTCCATTTCTTAACAAATGGGGCAATGTCATTCTTTCTGATGGAGTACATTTCTTATCCAGCATTGTTGCCTCCTCCTTTGTTTTTCCCCTACCATCCCTTCCCTCCCACCTCCTCAGCTACACAACTACACCCCACCCCACCCCCACCTAAATTGTAAAATTCGTTTTTCAACATAGCTTTTTGTATAGCTCATTGTTGCAAAGGAATTTTTAACCTCCCCTATACTCACTCTTTATGGGATACTAAACCCCAACTTGTGGATGATTCTAACTTATCCTTCTACCACATCTTTCTATCTTATCTCCTTTTCTATCCCTCAGTTCTCCTCCTGGGAGATTGAGTATTTTAAGTTAGACAAGAATAGAATAAAGTCTGTGCTTACTAATTCTATGATATCTCAGATGGTTAGTCAAACTATAGAGATCACTTTTGTCAAACTGAATTTTTTTTTGTTCCAGATGATTCCCCAGCCTTCTCCCTGATTCTGAGAATTGGTATCACTATGGCCTACTAAATTACTTTTCAGATCATATGGTATATTCATATGAGCTCTTTTCTTGCTATGTGGTAAGTTTATTTTACTCATTTCTACTTGCAAATTTTCAACACCATTTTCGCTTTGGTTACTCATATTCTATAGTATTATTTCCCCAAAACTGTTCTGGGAGAAATTTCAACTCAGTGCTAGCAGATGTTGCAGTTAAAAAATAGGAAAGTTATAGTTAATTAAATGTGGAAAGTGCAAGGATAAATACAATTAAATTAGTTTCCTTCTCCAAGCATTGGGAATCTCTAAGAAAAAATATAGAAGATAGCCTTTTGGTACTCAAAGAGATACAGATTTATCCTATCACATCACAAGAAACCAGTAAGTACATCATTTTTGGGTAATGATTTTCTAGAAACTTCTATACTTACTGTCTACTGTAAGGATTTTCATTCTCTTTGAGTTTATTATAAGCAATGCAATGTTATCTGTTATTCCTAATGCTGATTATACCTATTTAGTATTCCTCTTATCTCTATAAAATCTGTTTGTAATTATGTTTTGGTTTAAATTTATTATAGAGACTTTGAAAATTTGGGGGCCCAAGATTTTAATGGTTCTTCAAAATATCTTAGCTAGACATTTTACATTTTTTAATCTCTGTCTTAAAGCTAAGTGCAGGTATTTCATGTTTCTATGATTCTTTTGATAGGTTAGAATTCCTCTAGCATTCTTGACTCTTTTTCTGTTTCTTGTAACTTCCTGAAGCAGGCAACACAGATCTCAGGGCGCTACTTCCTTTGCTTTTGCAATATAAATTTCCAAATTCTGAGATGTTATCAGTGTGGATTTATATGCTTGTGATGCTGATTTGTAAGATTTTCTTAAAATACTCCTGAGCCTCAGTGATGAAATCAGAGTGCTAAATTATGTCAGTTGAGTAGCTGTTCTGTGAGGTAATTTAGGAAGATGAATTTTTGTAGATTATCTCAGTAAATTCTTTGCTGTATGTTAGTGTGTTTTAGAGAACCTTACTATCTGAAATGAAGTTATTAATACTTTGTCCAAGTTGTTTTTCTATTAAACAACTGGCTATATTTTCATTTTGACATGAAGCAAATAACTGAAGCACAGACCTGGGGTAAAATAGTATTTCCTGATCACTTTCCTGAAAGTCAGTTCTCCCAAATGCACTGGAGAAATAAAGCTCTTGTTGGTGATGAAGTCTCAGAGAGAGGCAGGAGATGATGTAAGCCAATCTAGTACTCATCATCTCTCATTTGTGAGTGCTACTTTGGAAAATAAATACTTATTGACTGAATTTATTGACTGATTATATTATTCAAAATATAGGAACAGTGGAAATAATCCAAACTCTCACATTCAGGGAATTGTCAAGAAAAAATAGACTAAAATGATGAATTCTTATGAACTAAAGTTAAAATGTACCATTCAGAAATACAGAAAATCCTCTAAGAAAGAAGATACTTTAACTATTTTCCTAAAAGTTAAACTATAATTTATCTATAATAAAACAATTTTTACACAGTGATACAGATAGATATTGTTAAGAGGTGCAATGAATTAAAAGTCTCTTACAAAGAATTAGGCAGATTATTCTGACTATAGACAAAATATAGTGTCTATGAACATTATATTTAGGGAACCATATAAATATATGAGTAAGTATGAGACTAAATAGAAACACATATTTGTATATAAACTTAAACATTACAAGCAAAAAAAAAAGAACTCACCTAATTAAATATGATGTATTAGAAGAAAAAGGTATCTGTTTCTTTCTGTGTGTCCTGGTCCTAATAGTGCTCAGACACAAAAGAGTATATTCCCTATTTCCTTCAAATGTCTCACCTACACACAGATTATGGAGAAAATTCAAACCAAGGTAATACTAGAAAGTCATGTAAAATGATAGCATCAAGCCAAAGGATACTCAGAAACAAATACTTTAAAGGGAGAGACTAGAATAATATTAATTTAAGCATGACTTTAAAAAATATAGATTCTTTGGCTTAATAATTAGGAATGCTAACATTTGTACAGAATTGAACCAAGTTATTTGGGACTAGCAAAACTGGAAAAAGTGCAGAAGAGGCATAATATACCAGAGGTCCAATTACCCTGGCTCCAAGGAAAGAGAATTCATAATGAAGAACAGAATAAAATGCTTAAGACAGGATGACATAGGGGAATACTGAAGCCATGTATATACTTTGAGAAGGTACATGGTAGCATAAAATGTAAATCAAGAAAGTGGTGTAAGAATGTGAAGGATGTGTTGTTATGATTAGGAAAGTATATGAGAGACAGGAACAAAGTCAAACAGCTTTTCTCATTAAACATTTATTACTCGGCTTAAATCTGTTTGAAGCCAGAAAATATGAAATACTATACCAGTTAAGATCTACTCTGCCACTAGACAGGGTGCAGAGCCTAACACAAATCTGACTGACATGTAATTGAAATATGTGACTGTTTTTCCTTCATATCAACTTTCAACACTGTCAATATTAAAGGTGAAGTGCATTCCAGTGACTCTCTGAAGTCAATTAATGTAACTCATAAAGTTGTCCCAACTCTTTCAAAAAATATAGTGAGAGTGCCCTTTATGATCATGATACAAAAATCTTTTCTTAATCTACCAATAGAATAGAGTTAAATTAACAATTCCTACTCTGCTCCAAGCAGCAGATAATGAATTAGGCCTTGTCTCAGGAAGAGAATGAAGTATTTTATAAAAAGTTGGAAGTAGAGCTGTGGCGCAAGGGATAGACCAATAGCCTTGTGCAATAAAAGTTCAGGGACAGCACCCAGCCCCTGAATTCAAGCCCCAGGAATAGCACACACACACACACACACACACACACACACACACACACACACACACACACACAAACGTTAAAGTATGTTATGAGGAACATTGCTGTTAAAGATATGATTAATATAGGACATATAAAAAGGAAGAGAAATGGTGAGCATTAATTTGTGTTCTAAGGAAGGATGAAAAAAATTTTAAATCATTTTCTCAATGACATTCCCAAAGAAAAAACAAGTGACTTATTTCTAAAATATCTTGCTAGAAATCATCTATACATATAGAAATAAATAATAAATAAATGTAAAAAAAAAAAGAGAATGAAGTATTTTAGATAGGAATACAGCCTGTAGAGAACTGTGTTCTGGAAAGCCCAAAGTCGCACCATTCCCAATGCTATAAAGTACTGTACTTTTATATCTTATTTTCCATAAGAAAATTCATTTTGAAAGTTTTTATTATGCTAAGATTATATTAACATTAAATTAATTTTTAAAAGAAGAAACCCATCCACAAGCCTGCTGCTACAACCAAATCTCTTTAATTTGCCCATAGGAATACATAATTTATAGTTATATTCATTTATATTCATACCAGAATAGAGCCAGGATTTGCAAAAAAGGCATTACTTAACAACCCTAACAATATGTACCTTCACACTTCCCAGCTGGGGTATGTCACTAGAACGCCGTATGAAAAACTTAATGTAAGCTACTGGTCCATCAATCTATGAAAAATGTAATGAGTTCCTTCTAAGTATATTCCACAAAAGGCCTATCTTACAAAAGAGTGTAATTTCAAGACACTTTATAATTCACATGTATAGTTAACTTCTCATCTTACCTCTTCTCCAGATAGATAGTAGGCTGAGAGCAGTCCACCAACAAAGCGTATATTCACTTCAAAAACAGAAATTTCAGCATTCTATGGAAACAGAACAAAAAAGGCTCAAACATAATGACAGCACATAATGCAAGGAACTATCATCACCAGAAGCAGCACTAAATATTTAAAGCCTGTTGAAATCTTATATGCTTATCTATCTAACTAGAATTCTCCCTGTGAATGATGTCAAAATACACTGAAACAGATAAACCATTCCTGATTTTTAAAATAAAAGTCACAAAGTATTTATAATACAAAGCTCTTTTCCCTGGTATTCAACAGCAGGTACAATACTTGGCATTCTATGCACATATGCAGTAAGACCACCGCATTTTTCCCCCATTCTGTATTCCTTATTTTATTCATTTGCTGCTTTTTTTCTTTCTGAAAGGCCAATCAGGCGGTACTATGGCTGGCAGTTCAACCCTAGTCTAGCAATCTTTTCATATTATGTTAAAGAAGCATAGATAGAATGCAAATAGAGTCCAAGTTGGGGCACTTGAGTTCTAGTACTGGTTTCCAATTTTCTGCCAGTGGCTTAGAATGGTTATCCTTTCTGAGATGACATTTTGATTTTCAATAGATATGATGATGATAATAATAATATATTCTGTGCTTTATTAAAACAGCTTTAAATCAGTAACAGCTTGATTTTATTATTTTTTATAGTGTACCTGATTCTGAATCTCTTTATCTGTGTCTTTTGCTCCCTCACACCATTCTTATGAATTACTATTCTTAGCTCACTTTACAGATGGAGAAACAGACTTATAGTCATTAATGTCACTTTTTGAAGGTCAGACAAGTATTAAGTGACAGAATCAGGATTTGAACTTAAGTATTTTGATGATAGATTTAGGACTTGGCTATTCTGGCTCTTATAATACTTCACTGGCTAAGCACGTGTCTCTTCATTGATGGTCAAAAAACTGGCCAGTGATTACTAATTATTGTCAATACTTTAATTATTTTACAGCATTTGACTACTAAGTCTTTCCTGTGTTTAGTTGTTTAATAATTAGCATCATTAACAGTGGGTATCAGGTACACTTCAGTCTTAGTTTTTTGTTTTGTTTTGTTTGCGTGTTCACTAGACCTACTCAGTAATGATCACTCTTTTTTTAAATAATTAATGATCACTCTTGAAGAAGGTCAAACCATCCACTGATAATCACAAGGGCTAACAGCAAAGTGTAACACATGGAATTACTATCTGGCATATGAACTTAGTCAAAATCTTCCAAGATACTATTTTCCTTTTACAATTATTTCTTTTTTAAAATATTTTTTATTTTAAAAATAGTGTACAGAGGGGTTACAGTTACATGGGTAAGGTAATGAGTCTATTTCCTATTGAGCATTGTTATCCCCTCCTTTGTTTTTCCCCTACCATCCCTTCACTCCCCGCCTCCCCAACTCCTCCCTCCCTCCCTCCAAGTTGTAAAGTTCGTTTGCCACATAATGTGTTGTACATCTCATTGTTACAATGGGTCAACCTGTATTCCTATTTAAGCATTTTGTTTTTTCCCTTCCCCTCCCCAAATTAGAAAAGTGTATGTACAAGACACAGGGCACCAACATCAAATACAGTGAAAACGGGTTATACCATGGGGGAGGAACATACCAAAGATACAAAAAAATCACATAGTACACTATAAGTACATTAAAAACAATAGCAAGCAAGAAAAAAAACCCACTTGTTCTTAAGCAACTACTCTGTGTCAGTCAGTTCCAGTCCCAGGTGCAGGAGCTGTGACAGTGAAGACTGACCAAGTCCTCACATTCTGTGAGTCTCCACGTTAATGGGAAAAAATATTACCAGAAAAAAGAGACTCAATTATTTGATTCCAACAAGTTCTCTCTAAAGAAAAAGCATAAGGAGCTAAATTAAATCTAAATCTAAAAAAAAATTGCAAAATATTTCCTGCAAAAGAAAGAATATGAAAACAAGTTTAGAGAGAAAAGTACTAGTTCAAGTTTAGGCTGAAAACATCAAAATAAGTAAGTTTGTTTAGTTATACTTCAAATTTTGAAACATATACCTAAGACATTTTAATTAAAAGCACTCTGGAGATATAATTTATCTTTGAAGTATATCATTCTAAATATGGATTATATAAATATTGGTAATAGCTTTAGTACAAAAGAACTGATAAGAAAAGGCAAAGGGAATGTACTCATTTAGTTTGGTTCACACAACTACATTTCTTATTTTAACAGTTAATAATGTCTAATAATAAAATCTAATGCATTTAAATCCTCATCATATTTCTTTAAATTTTCACTTGTCTCTTTTAAGTTTTTAAGCTTATTAAAGCTTGTTCATATGAATTTTATATTGTTAATTTGGGCATGTGTTAATTATATATGCATACTTTCTCTTATGAAAATTTTAGATAATCAGAATCCTCTATAGACCTCTGATAAAAATTACCATAAGGTAGAGGACTGAACCATGACAAATGCCATCAGAAATATGCTTAGCTAGGCATCAGTTACCTACTGAATGTAGTAATCCAATCAGTTATATTGATCCAGCTCGGTGTATATTCTAGAACCCAAATCCTATTTATTGTGCTTTGTCTGTAAGATATTGAACGATAACCTGTGAGGTGCTATGTTCAAGGTCAGTCCCTATGACTTTGAATTTCATGGATCTAAAAGTCTACAGAGCTGGAGTAGAAAGTCAATCTGGCTTGTTAATGATTCATACAAGTTCCCAGTGATTGTAGTGTCCTTGTTTTTTAAAAGCCTCAATCAGGAATGTCATATCACCACCAGTAATTCTTACTAGTCACCATCTTCCTAGAATTACATTTGAATTCCCAACATAAAATTCTTTCTCCACCCTTTTTTGCAAAGCTAAATTATTTAGAAACTTTAACTTGAACTCTTTTAATATGCTAGGCTATATTATCTTTTAGAACAGGGGATTAAACTTTGGACACTGTAGGTCATTCCTTACAACAGGCCATTAGCTAGAAAGGTCTAAGAATATCAGAACTCTCTTACTGTAAGAAACTGATTTGCAGAATATAATCAGTCCCAAATCTGCAATTAGAAAGATCTGGGATGGAAGGCTGGGTGCAGCAGCTTTTTTAATGTGAATTCTAAGTACTCACCAATTCTCTAAGTCTTGGTTTTATCATTAGTAAAAAGGAACAAAGCATTCTTTATTATGAGTCCTTACCACATGTAAGGACTATGAGATGCAGAATGTCAAATATTAAGCACAATACATGGGAAAAGGAAGGTACTCAACAGATAAATTAACAATGTGTATTAGTACAGCCTAAATAAACTCAGGTCCACCTTCCATATTGTTACTGCAAACCAGAGAACTATAAGATTCAGCCACAAACTTTAGAACCAGAATATTCATCTTCTATGATCCTCATGTTTCCCAATGGCTAATTTTTCTTTTGAGGACCTGGTGTGGTGATAAACACCTGAAATGCCAGCTACTCAGGAGGCAGAGACAGGAAGAATGTAGTTTGTGGACAACTCAGGTAAAAATGTTTTGAGGCCTTATATCAAAAAATGTGGTATAACATGACTGTAATCCATGCTGTTCTGGAAACAAAGGTAAGAAAGAAGACTGAAGTTTGTGGCTGTACAGGGCGAAAGTATGAAAACATCTCTGAAAAAAAAGAACAAACTCTGAAAACAAAAGGACTGGGGTCATAGCTCAAGTGGTGGAGCAAAAGGGGTTGAGTTCCATCCCCAGTACTGCCAAAAATGTCTTTCTTTTGAATATAGTAACCACATTAACTTTTAGGGGGCTTGATATTGTTTATGTCACCTCTGGTTAAAAAAACTTCTATAATATGAGGGGGTTTTGGTCCATCTTTATAAACTTTGGCTTAATCTCCATTAAAATAATTGGGTTAAAATTTTTTATTGTGAAGTCTGTACAGAGGGGTTACAGTTACATGGGCAAGGTAATGAGTACATTTCTTATCAAGCCTTGTTGCCTCCTCCTTTGTTCCCCTTCCAATCCCTTCCCATCTTCTCCCCCACTCTCCCCTCCCCCAAGTTGTAAAGTTCATTTTTCAATATAATGACTTGTACATCTCATTGTTGCAATGGGTTCACTTGTATCCCTATTTAAATGATTTGTTTTTTCCCTTCCCCTCCACAAAGTCTACCAACATCAAATACAATGAAAGCAGGGGTTATACCATGGGGGAGGGACATACAAAGCAACAAAGAAATCATCTTATAAATATGTTAGAAACAATCACAAGAAAGAAAAAACAAGAATACATTCTTCCTGTTATTAATCATGTAATGTTTTTGTTAAGGGGTTCTAAAGTTTTCCACTTACTTTCCCTAACATCAAAAGGCATGGGGAGAGACAAACCACATGTACATGAAGCAGCCTGTAATACTCAAATCTGAGGTAGCTTAGTCTAACACTAAGAATTTTGCAGTGTTTGTCTTCAAGTGAAATTAACTTGCCCCTTAGAATTTTCAGATCACATTACAGGAATATGCCACAAATTATCTGTGGCTTTCTAGTATAGTCTGAGCCTCAGTTTGAGATCAGATTTAACCTTTAGATTAAACTGCATGCACCCCTCACTGAATGTTATCAGTGCAAGTTGCAAATTTCTAGCTCAAGACCTACCTACAAAAAAAAAAGGTCAAGATTAGAGAAACTTTGCTCCTTCCTTTTGATCTTCTCCCAAAGTGACCATAGAATTAAAAAAGGATTTAAAACATAGCCTTCAAATTTATTAAAATAGGAAGTATGACTAAATTTACACCAACAATCAGGAAGTAACACAAACCATGAAAATAATTTTGCCTTGGGTTTTCACATCTGTTAGTATCTAACACTCAGGCCCCTTAAACTTACAACTTGCACCTTACCTGTTGTCTTAATATTTCAACTGATACAAATACATGCAATATGAATGATACAAATATGCAAATATACATAGGATACAAATATGCAAAAGCCTAAGATTAAAGTGATAACGACATCTAAAATGGAAGAAAGTACAAATTTATAAATAGTCTGTGTCCCTATCAGC